GCAGCCTGCACTATGATTCACTGGAGACTTGTTAAAGACCTTAAATACTGACACACACCTTGTTAAACGTTTCCATTATCATGCAAGAGAGTCTGGTGGGTGTGCACTGTCTAGTCCATTTCAGCTGGTTGAGTTGTCATTGGCAAGAAGGCAGATTGAATGGGTGGTCCAAGATGTAAAATGGTCAAAGCAAGCAAAGATGTTTCAAAGCCAAGTCAACTCTGTAATCACAAAAGCATGCATGCCGTGCATTTCCATTGTCAGGGCTCAAGTTGAAGTCGACGGCTGACGGGCGGTCGCATTATTGCACTAAATCCTGCTTACCCATATCCACGTATTTATACAAAAGTGGAATTCCCGTAAGCCGGAGGGAACAGGTTGCTTTGTACCGACTTGCAACCGTGACATACAACAATCAAGGCCAGACCAGGCTTGTAGATTCTGCACCAACAAGAAAACACGGTTGCTATTCATTTTGCTGATCTCAAGAACTCTGGATGAGAGCAGTAGTGCAAATTCATGTTTCATTATAAGATTTACAAGACAAATGATCTTTGTTCCTGACACTCCTAAGCTCTTCCACATGCTCACAGTCTGAAGGAAACAATAATCATGATTCAGTGCAGAGTCTTACATGAAGAGACAATCCCACATACTCAACGAGTCAGTGGGGAGAGGTAGAGTCCCCTTCACGCCTACCTGATTCTCTGGCTTCAAGCATCTTTTCTCTGTCTGCGCTCAAAACCGTCCGGAGTTTAATGATTCACATTAGAGCAAATGGCTTAACCCGTTAAAAATGCCCACAATCTAATCAGTAAACTAGACAAACCACATCAATACATTGCAAAAAAACAAACAAAAACTGGGAGCTTTCGAAAAGTCAACATTTGACCGTGAAAGTGACCTGCTGATCACAAAAGATGATAAACTGAATAATGTTTAGACTGTTTTTGTTCATACATTAAAGCCCAGTGTTATTTTGGTCCACACTGATTTCGATTGTATGGTACAAGAAGATTTTGATCAACATGAGGACAATTATCTTTTTTTTTTTTTTGATTGAACTGTCCCTTTAAAACAAAATCACTATATCCATATGAACCTAATAACTGATTGAAACAACAACAACATGATAGTCTTCACATTCCCATACACCAAGCATGATAAAAATAGTGACAGAAACAACATGCTTGCTCCGAAGGGGATGTCTGCTGGATTTCTGTTTTCTGTCCTCCGTCCCTTGTGTTTGTGTAAACACTCACATTCTGATAGATCAGGAATTTGGCAGGGAGCGAGGAATCTTGTAAACAGTAACAGTAACCGATGACACGGCCTTCACCTTCTGCAAACAGATGAGGCAGGTGGTTCAGAAATACACCTGTGGAAACCTAATAACAGGGTGGCAAACAGAAATACTGCTGGATTTAGTGATGGACTGAATGTTTTAGGAGAAAGTGGAAGAGAGTATGTTGTTCGAACGTAAGCCGAGCTCTGCTCTGTAATTACTTGCATGTGTCTACCTGGTAGTTGTCTATGTTTTTTAGTGTGTGTTTTATGGTGCTATACACAATCCTAGATGGCTAAGGAATTGTGTCATGAGTTA